GAAAAGAAGAATGGGAGATATCAGCATGATTGACTATTGAATTGAAAGGGTAGACTATTGAATGTACATTTAAAGCAGAAACAACAACCACTAGTTTTAAATATTTTACATTAGTATAGATTTTGGTATACTGATGCAAAATTGAGATTATCTTTTGTTATACTGGATATATGTTTCTACTCTTATTTAAGATGTTTTTGTATATTGATGCAAATTTGAGGTTATTTTTGTTAGACAATACTGTGCATACATTTCTACTCGTGTTCAAGGTATTGTACCCTTACAACTTATTTAACAATGTAATATAAAGTTCTAGTTCTGGAAAGTTATTATTACAAACTATTTAGGATGATAAAATGCAGGTTAGTAGTTAGTCACCTATTACAAGCAAATTTGTAGTCATGTTGTGTATGTTTTCAAAATCAAACAGAAATATATTTTAGATAGTCATGTGATCTTCAAATAGTTCAGAGATCTATATGGCAATTAAGATGTTTTAATAACATAGGATTCTTTTTATGACACTGAGATATGTCTGCTCCTGGCAGCACCAAGCAACTTCAGATAAGATGATGGGCACTGGGAAAAAAAACTACATATGGAGTTTACTCTCTTTGTAGCAAAAGTTAGCTACTGGGCAAGAGATTGCCCTTGCTGCTCACAGTATTCTGTTCAAATTAAACAAGTAGGACACAAAATAAAATGACTGCAAAACTTTCCAAGACAAGGTAGGGCAGTCCTTTAGAATATCCTACTTTATAGAAAAGTCTGTCAGATATTCTATGCCTGTAAGCAAAAGTTGGATGTGCTAAAATTGCAGAGGAGCCTTGAGTGGCTGCCTTGGCAGTCAGCTGTTTCTGTCATTTCTCATATTTTTTTAGAAGTCGCTTGCTTGCACTTCTTGCTTACTCGGTTAATGTGTTTTTCTCAGGTCTCTGATGGAGTTGAAGACTAGACAGTTATAGTTTTCCTTGTTACCTAATTGAGAAAAGCAACTTACAAAAGAGGTATAGAATATAGAAGGTTGAGAGACATAAAAGGATAGTTTGGGTTGGTAGTACAAGTCAGAATATAAAGTGAATTAGTATAACACTTTGTATTCACCAAGATAGGATAGGTAATGGAGTATTTTCTCTGATTTGTCAAATGCAAATGGACTGGACATTGTTAACGTAAATATTGTCTATATATAGTTGTATATAGTTATTGTACTTGTTGTATGCAGTTTTTCTATGTTAACTTAAACCTTCAGTTATAGTTAGACAAGATCTAAAAAATATATGATTTTTTTGTGTTTTGATGAATAAAGTTTTTGTGAATATAAGAGAGTAGAATCAGCCATTAGTTAATCAAGAAGCCAAGCAGTGTTGGCACACTTGTGGCTCATGCCTTTTGGGAGGTGGAAACAGGAAGTGTTAAGGTGAAGTGTAGACGAGATCTCAGCCAATTTTGGATAGAGGAAGGAGACAGGTAATAATCAACTGGCATCTCCTCCCAGATCTCTAATCTTTAAGGTCTTATTCTAATATTTGGCTGCTGATTTTTATTGATTGTGGTTATTAGATTATCACTTCAAATGCTAAAATTAAAGCTATAATATATATTCAGTGGATTTGGTGCAGACCCCATGAGGTTTCTGTGCTTGTTTCTCTCTCTAGGAATTCATACAATCTTTGCTCAGTTGATTTAAAGGAACACAAATATGATTATGGTATCAGACTATTGGAAAGGAGGACACAACGACTATTAGATATGGTTGAAGAGACAGTTTTATTGCATATATGAGGAGGACTATAGTCAAAGGCATCTGGAAGGGTCCAGACTGAAATGAGCCAGTAGACAGTATGGAACCACGAGAAGTGAGAGAGACAGAAAGATGGGGTAAGCATACAAGGGCAAGAGAAAAATGAGGGAAGAGTTGGGTGGAAGGAAACAGAGGAGAAGATCTTTGTGATCCATTGGCTGTCGCATCTGTTCAGAAATTCTGCTACAGGTATTCTGCTACAGAGTTGGAGATGAGATTCAGAGGGTGGTTTCTGGAGAATCAGAAGGAGAGGTGAATATCTGTAGTCAGCCTACATGATTCCCTTGCAGGAGGGGCCTTTGGGTTAGTAGGAAGTACCTGATAGACCTGGGCAATGACATAAAGAAACAAGCTTGGGAACGGAAATCGGGAGAGGAAAATTATGGAATGCATAGTAGATGGGTGCAAGTGCTCAGGAAAGGATGAGGGAGGTGATCTATTGCAGAACTAGGAGTCAGGCTAGTGTTAAAAATTCAAATTCTATGATAAAACCAAATTTAGACAATATTTATCTATGAATCCAATCCTTCAAGATATGATAAAAGGAATATTTCAATCTAAGGAAGTTAACTAAAATCATGAAAACATAGGGAATAAATAGTCTCAAACCAGTAAAACCAAGAAAGGGAAGTACACACACACACACACATCTGCTAGCACAACTACCACCAATACCTACTACAACAATAAATTAAAAGGTATAAAATAGTCACTGGACATTACTATCTCACAGTATTAAGTCCCCAATAAAAATACTCAGACTAATAGAATGGATGCAAAACTGGGAACAATTCTTCTGCAGCATATGAGAAACACGCAGACAACGTCAAGGATATATATTCTTTCTGGATAAAGTGTTGTAAAATTATATTTTACGACAACTTAAAAATCAAGCTGGTATAGGTGTTTCAATAGCTAACAAAACAGACTTTAATCCAAAGCTAATTAGAAGAGATAGGTAAGATACTACATAACTAACCAAAGAAAAAATTCACCAAGATGACATTTCAATTCTTAAAGTCTATGCCTAAAACACAAGGGAGCCCAAATTTGTAAAATAAACACTATCATGGCTGAGACCCACATTGACCCTCACTTATTGATAGTTAGAGTCCCAATATACCACTCTCACAAATTCCTGAACAAAAACATTAGCCTCCCTGTAAACACTGAATCTACATCTCTGAGGTCAGAATGTTTAACTGTTTCCTATATTTTAAATTCAACATTATCTTATATTTGCTAATTGAAAAATAAAAAGTTAATGAACAATAAGAAACATTAGATTACATATCTGTGAAGATTTCTAGATTTGGGGGGACATGTTTGAGAATAATTTAGGAAGAAGTCAGAGAAAAGGCATTAAAAACTAATTATTTATGGCACATATGTCAAAGATTGGCATACTTTACAGATAGATACAGGATAGCCAATGAGCTCATCTAGACATTGAGTACTTATTATATTGTAAAACTAAGTAGATCCTAACATATCCTAAAGATGTGTTACTATTAAAATAATTCTCATGAAATTGATATTTCAGTAGAGATCATGCTATAGATGAATCAACATTTTGAAACTTAGAATATGGTGAAAAAGAATAAATAGAATTTATTATGAGTGGTATTTATTATTATTACTATTATTATTATGAGTGGTAAAAGTATCTTTAGTGAGGGTGGGTGCTTTTAGCTTGGGAGGCTAGCAATGAAATTCCTATGGGGCAAATAAAATATTTTAACAGGAGGCTGAGAATAGCTTGTAAGTATGAAGAGTGGGTTAAAAACTGCCAAATAGAAAATAACAAGTACACTGATCCTGATAATCTACAAATGAAATGCAAGTCAGGGTAGTTCAAGGAGAAAAATATGGAAGATGAATGAGTATTTGAATTCTATTCTTAACTGAGAAGTTGTTTGAGGTATGGAGAACAGTAAGAAAGCTGCCAAACAGAATAGAAAATAGCTAGTATATTCATCATGATTACCTCAAAAAATAAAAAATAAAAAGAAAGAGTAATCCAAAGGAGGGACTCAAGGAAAATAGAAGTTTATCTGAATTCTATCATGAAATGAATAGAAGAAATTAAAATATTTTAATAGAAACAACCTAAGAAGACCATGCCTTTAAATATCATGTGTGTTGTACAGACAACTTGTTTTGTGAGCACTGTATAATACAATAACCACCAGCCTGGCATGAAATAACTGGTTATGCTGTTGTGAAACAAATGTCATGAGAACAACCAACCACTTTCTGAGTGGATATAGAGCTAGCTATAAAAAACAAAACCCACACCTAACATCACCATTTGGCCCAAAACCTATACTAGACAGGCCAAAGTCCCTAGCAAAGAACCTACCACCATTTTACTGCTAAATGGGCACAGTATTAAACCAATTTGCAATGATTTATTACAATGCTCATAATTTAGTTCTTCTCATAGTCCTCATGAGAGAAGCTTCGTTTTTGCAGAAGTTGGTAATCAGCACACCGCTTGTCAACATGCAGAGAATTAGATACTACAGAACTTTCAACTCTATACGGGATGTCTATATTATTCCTCCTTCTCTTCAAGCTTAGGAATTGAGAAAGAGTCGATAGAAAGATTGTAAAAGCCAGAACTAGTAGAAAACAAAGAAACCTTGTTTCAGACACAACACAATGGGGGTAGACATGAACTCATGGTAGCTGTGTCAGTGTGTATAAGATCAAAGCATACAAAATCCCAGCATGGAGATAGGAGGTGAGATGAAGCGCATCCACAACTGAGAAGTTATTGGCAGTTGGTATCTTCCAGGAGAATCGGAGTCAACTTTCTTTAAGGATTTGGTCTTTGATAGGATAACCATCTTTGGTGAATGTCTATACAGCAGAGAATGGGCAAAAGCATCCAGCATTATATGACAGAAAAATGGAGTTGGCTGTGTAGGAGAAGGAAATAAAGAACTGGAAGGAGCTGGCGGGAGAGGGTAAACATAATCTAATTGCATTGTATAAAATTCTCAAAGATACATTTAAAAACACACTCACAAAATTTAAATGTAATAAGATAAAATACAAATATATATTGGGAGGGAAAGGAGATGAGCAGGAAAAAAGAAATAAGAAGGCTAATAACCAAACCTGAAATGGTGGTCACATTCGTCTTGCATAATCACTATTATTATATTGTTTTGCAAAGCAACCAATCAATCTATGAAAATATTTTCTTACCAAGCTTTCTCTTTAGTGCATCCTTAAACTCATTATTCCTGAGACTGTAGATGAGTGGGTTCAACATGGGGATTACCACCATGTAGAACACAGACACCACCTTGTTCTGGTCTGTGGAGTAGCTGGACTTAGGCATCACATAGATGAAGGTGATAGTCCCATAGTAGAGTATGACTGCAGTAAGGTGAGAGGTGCAGGTGGAGAAGGCCTTCTGGCGGCCCTCAGTAGAATGCATCTTCAGGACAGTGATGAGGATACAGGAATAAGAGATGACTATGACAAACACTGTGATCACAGTAACTGACCCAGCTGAAAATGAGGTAACAACTGCAGAGACACTGACATCAGAACAGGAGAGTTCCATCAAAGGAGCATAATCACAGAAAAAGTGATTGATTCTATTTGGTCTGCAGAAGAGAGAAGAGAAAAAGTACACTATAGCAATGGAAGCATTAAGAAAACCCCCTGTATACGATCCCACAACCAGCTGGGTACAGACTTGTGTGGACATTTTGGATGAATAATGCAGTGGGTTGCTGACTGCCATGAAGCGATCATAAGCCATGGCAGCCAGAAGGAAGCATTCAACTGTCCCAAAGAAATCAGCTAAACTGAGCTGGATGCCACATCCAAGGAAGGAGATGGTACTAGGACTGACCAGGAAGTTGACAAGCATATTGGGTGTGACAGAAGATGAGAGGCCTATGTCAGTAGAAGCCAAGTGACTGAGAAAAAAGTACATGGGATGATGGAGCTGGGAAGAGACTCTGATGAGAAGGACGGTGCTGAGGTTCCCAGACACGGTCACCAGGTAGATGCACAGGATGATGGTGAAGAGGACGACTTTAAGGACTGGGTCATCTGTCAGGCCCAGTAAAATGAACTCTGTCACTGTAGTGTGGTTTCGTTCCTCCAGGAAAGCCATGGGACACTGTAGTTGCTGTCAGATCAACACTGTGATGGATTTATCGCAGGAAAAGAAATATATGAATAGGTCATTTTATTTCATTAACACATACATCGAGAGCATTATCAATTACTTCAAAAGTATTTAGGGAAGTGCTAGAAATATGCTACAAATAATATGTAATTATTTCTATTATACATAATAAAATATTCTTATGTCATTAAAGATAAAAATTTAAAATTATGAGACTTTGTTTGGTGAGATGATTTTTTAGACAAAATTTTTTACCACTAAGCCTGACACCTGACAGCCAAAGTTTGATTGCTGGAGCTCAAATGGTGGAAATGTGAATCAACTCCTGAATATTATCATTTGGTATTTATACATATGATATGTTTACTGCCCCACTCTGTTTACACAAATAAAAATAAATATATAATAATCATGAAAACAATATATTTATTATAAACGTACCATTTCTAATAAGGGTTAAATATAAAAGCATAGTATTACTTAATGAAGACTTAAATACTTGCCAGATATTAAAATTTTATGTTTTTCTATTTTCATGTCTATGACCCATTAATCATTTTTATCATTTCCATTTTGCACAAGGAAGTAGTTTTACATTAAAAACAAATATGAGAAATAACAAATCATGGGGTTGAAAACATGGTTCAATGATTAAGAGCATTTGCTGGATTTGCAGGGAATCCAAGTTTAATCTCCAATACTTGCAGTTTCTGATGCAGATTGTGGTTCCAGGTCTAGGGAACCAATGATCACTTCTTGTATTCTAAAGCACGAGTCATGCTCATGGTAGACATATATATGTACATACAGGCAACACTCACACACACAAAGTTAAAATGATAAATATTTAAAAAGATAATTAATTATGAACACAAGACAGGCTGGACTTAGTCTATTTCTTTTAATTACCACAATATAAATAAAGGGTGGCAATGCAGTTGAGGGCACATACAAATTAGCCACAGACTGCAGAATAGTATTTCAGCTCTCCAGTGGTTAATACATAGAGAGGTTATATGTTGGTGACATTGATCACAGTCTATCATTTCTGTAAGTAAGGTAATGTATTGATCAACTCTTTAAAAGATGATAATTTTTGTCAGATCTGAGAAGAAATAAATGAGAGATCACACTAAATTTACAAAGGGAACTTTCTGTTGTAAGCTCATTAAATATTTTAAATGATTCTAAATTGATCATCATATTTAAAGTAACTTGAAATATCAATTTCAATACATAAAATATGAACAATATTTAACAAATTATTACTTTTTCATTAAAACACACCAAATAGTTTTCTAGTGTCACAGTGGTTTTTAATTGGAGTGTGATAGGATGAATTCACATAATTCTCAACAGAGGGCACTGGTTATTAATATCAAACTAATAATATAAGAGGTTTATCAAGATTCATCCAGCATGAAGTAGATTGACTCTCATCCGTCATATTTGATATTTCCATCCTCATTTGTCCACAGAGATAACTGTAATGCTCGGATATTCAGTCCAGATGCAAAGCAGATCTTTGAACATGTCATTCACTGACAGTAAGCCACCAAAGCATTTAAAAGCTAGTGAAATTTTAGTCATTTGGCTGAATGTTATATTTGTACACCTTTGAAGACAATGTTTGTTTCTGGTCTTACTAATGGAGGGATGAAAAGGAATCATTGAAAACTGGGGAATATCTGGGAATAATAGAAGGAGGGGAAATTATGGTTGGGAAATAAAAATCCATTTTCAGTAAAAAAAGAAAGTTAGTATCATGACTAATCATTGCCTATAGTAATTTTCCTATAGAAATATAATATAATTTCATGAGTTCGTTTATGTCCCATCTCTTACATGATTACCTGTCTCCATCTGACTTGTTTCTTCACCATGGTTAATACATACAGTACATTTTCAAATAATAAAGTACCTCCATTTACCAAAATGTCAAAATCTTACCTCTTGAAATAAGAACTAATTTCAAAGTAGTAATTCCAAAGTTGTTATGATTTTATAGCTGGAAAGCTGTCTCGTCTCTTACTGTCGTTGTCTGTCTGAGGATAAGTCCCTCTGAGTCTCTGGATTCCAGTGGGAATTCAAATCATAAGGGATCCTTACCTCATTTCCAGTGAGTACTGAGCAGTTCATTTCACACAAACACAATTATCAAGAGGTTACCTGTAAATTTCAAGTGATCCCTTATTTCCCTCTTTGTTTAAGTATTGTATACTTTCATTTGGTAATCATGGGAGGTAATGATGACAAATTGTCTTAGGTAAATTACTCAAGTTGATATTTGATTCAATTTAGTTCAAGTTAGAAGATATTAAACCATGTATTAAAATGAGTTATTTTGGGTTCTTTCATGTGCACCAATTTTCATTTAGTATTTTAATGATTGATATACTGTATTAGGTACTTTGATGCATATAGGAAGGGATAAGATGCAAAGTTAAACAGTTTTTTGAGATACACATAATTTATATAGATAATAATATAAAATATCATTGTTACCTAGAAAATAGTGAGTAAAAAGATGTATGGATTTTTCCAGGTAAGAATTAACATTTCATAAGTCATACCCCAAACAAGTGACATTGGTTTCAGCCTTTCTGCTATAATGGTGGATAGAAGGCTCAGTGATCTGCCACCCAAAGACTCAACTCAACTGTCTTTTAAATCTTGCATTCACTAAGTCCTACACTGTACTCCTGTTATCAACTCGATAAGAATCTATTAATAATCTTAATTTCATTAAGTCATGCAATGACCTTGATATCACACTGATAATTGTTTTTGACCACTGAGCATTGTTAAATTTTTATTCAAAGTGTCTTCACTCATACAGACACATGAGAGGTAGAGATAGGATCATCACTGGAAGCTCTCTGGTCTGCTAGAGTATGGAGCAGTGAATCACAGAAGAGATGCTGCATCAATCACAGTAGAAGATCAGGACACATAGCTACATTGTCTTTTGACCTTTGTATGCATACTATGGCAAGCAGGCAATTTGGACTCCTAAGAATACACACAAATATTATGCATACACACTTCATACAAGAAGAATATATGTATATATTAGTCAATGCTTCCTTTACTAAACTGTATATTTAATACTTTATGTAATATATATATATATATATATATATATATATATATAATGGTCTCATGTAAACCAGATTGACTTTGAACTTGCTAGGAAGCTAAGGGAGATCTTGAACTTCTGATCCTCCTGTCTCCATCTCTTAAGTTCTTAATTTAGAAGCATTACACATGGTATTAGGGATCTAGCACAAAAGTGTACGCAAGTCAGACAAGGATTATAAAAGTTGGACTACTTCACAGGTAGTTTATTTTAATGATTTGAATACACACATACATACAGACACACACAATCTTCTATTTTAAAGATGAGAGTGAGCAGAGGTTGAGTTTACACTAATTTTATAAATGTACTCGTGAGTTACATCAGAATTAATTTAGGATTATGATTAATTACAGATCAGATGCTATAATTTATAGTCTGGAAAACTGTCACCAATGAGGAGGCTTCACAACTAGATATGGGAAAATAATTGATTGATTGATTGATTGATTCATTCATTCATTCCTTTTAAAAATATGTGTTGAATATTTCTTGTATTCTAGAAACCAAGTAATACTGAAGATACATTAAGGAAAATGGACCTCTTATGAAATTCAGACTTCAAAGGATAAGCAACTAGAGAATGAATATTGAACATGGCAAGTAGTGTGGAAAATATTCAAGAGATGTTTTAAAGAAACATCCTCGAGATGTCCTGTGCTCCAGAATGATCTTTCTTACTTCCATTGTTGAGAAGCTATCCCATTTCTGCATGGTAAAATGGATCAATCACCCCACCTAACACTGTGATTCCTCTCTCAGCCTGTTGGTTTAAGGACACTAAAAGCTCAAAGTGATACAGGAGTAATCTGAGATTCCAGTTTAATGGAATATTTGCTGTGGCTCCTGGCAGGAGTATTTCACCTGCTCTTGGAAGCAAAATTTCTAGGCCAACAGAATATAAGGTCACATGAATAGGAAGAAAAACTTTCCTAATGGGTCAGTATAGGTGACAGTGAGTAGAACTGTGAAACTATTTCTTTTTTTACACCTTGATTCCTAGACTTGTAGATCTCGTCTATGGAAGAAACCATACCATATATTTGATGCTGATTCAAAGAGTGTTTTGCCTTCTGAAGAACCCTGTCCTGACCCTCCAGGAAGCTGCCATATACCTGTCTTCAAAAGATTATTTTATCTTTCTATCAGGTCAGCTGCTTCAGGATAGTGGGGAACATGGTAAGACAGTGGATTTAAAGATCACAGACCTTGTATACTTTTTATCATACTACAAAAGCATTTGTTCAACTATGTTCATAGCAGCATTCTTTGTAATAGCCAGATCCTGGAAACAACCTAGATGCCCTTCAATGGACCAGGCAGTGTTTAAAAAAATACAGTTTCCATGTAATTATTTTGGGGCATAAGCTAGCCATGCGGGCAGCTGGGTGCTGGGAATGCAGCCTGCTGCTCCATTTTACAACAGTAGAAAACAATTATGGTGGATAAGGCATTATGTAAGCCTGTGAATGGTGGATTTGGCAGGAAGCATTAAGTTGCAGGAATGGTAAATCCATAACCCAAATAAAGATCTATGTCACCAAAGAGGAAGTGGTCCAAGGTAGGCTGTCACCAGGTCACTGGCTGGTCACCATGGGGAATGGAGATGGGGGGCACTCACTGTTATTTTCTGCTGCTGGCATATTAGACACTCAACAGCAAGTGTAACATTAGCCTTGTTGAATGGAATGTTGTCAAGCCCATGCATAACATCCATCTCTGCCATTATGTTAATTCTGTGTGTGGGCCCAGGAATGCTGGGGAAAGAGGCTGACTGTTCACAGAATGTGTCGTCCTATCTACTTGATTCTGAATCCTCCTCTGGTAAAGTCACCTTTTAATGAGCT